TGTTTATATTTTAAATTATTACAGTTAATTTTCAGATTTAATAAATGTATTACTTTAAAATTAATTTTTTAATTTATTTATGGCATAAGATATTTTAACCTATAGAAAAAAGATTTATTAATTGAATTCCTTCTACTGAAATATCAAGTAATACAAATTTCTAAATAAATACATGTTTACTACGTAATATTATTTAGGTAGTATTTTTTAATGGCCTCGATATTAATTAACATAATATAGTATTATTGAAATATATTTGATTGAGCTTTTAATTATTACTTAATTAATATTTTTAGTATTTATTAATATTTTTTAAATCATGTTCAAAAATGGTTACTGTTTATATTTATTGTAAATTGAATTGCATTCATGTAATATAATACTGTACGTTGTTTTTAAATTTTAGTTAGAAAGATTTTCATTTTCAGCATGTAATCATTATAATGTTTTCATTACGAAAGAATTATTGAAAATTATTCTATATTTAATTCAACATATTTTCATTATTTATATTTCATTATAAAATAAGATTAAGTTACATTTAGCTCTCATATTCGAAGACATTATACAATTTTAGGAGACTATACAAAATATTTGTTGGCCACAAGTTACTAATAACGAGTACAATTATTATAATAATTGTGATGTAAGCAATACTACATTTTTCTAATTCAAAGGCTTACTTCTTTGCATCATTTTTATTTTAATTATTTATCTTTCCACTAATTTCATTAGTATGTAATTGAGGAAAGTATTTTTATATGGATAAAATAATCATTAATTTTTTTATGGAGTGCTTCATATATTACAAATATATATATTTATATATGACCTATTAAGATATGTATCATTGAGTCGAATTAAAGCTAGTATTAATTTATAGTTACTTATATAAGTTATACGTGAATTTAAAATATCAATTTTATTATAAATTTTGTTTAAATAATACACAAGTTATAAAAAATGAATATAATTTTATATAATTTAAAGATTTAATAAAAAAAGTTATGTAAAAAGTTTTTAACAAATTTCAAAAACACTTTCCTAAATATGGATATAAGGCTAAATTAAATATAATTAATTAATTAATTAATTGACTATAATTTGTAAAAATTTATAGATTTTTTTTTTAAATATATAAAACTAATATATGGCGCAAAGTAAAATTGTTAGCATTATAACAAATAAAGTAATTTTTATGTGATTTAAAATTATATAATATATTTTTTAAAGGTATTATTAATGTTTCTAATTCAAAAATTATTACTCCATACATTTTTATACATTATATAGTAAGCTCATAAGTTTCACCAACTTAAATATTAATATTTATAAAAAATATTAAAAAAATATTTTAAGCAAACAATATATACAATTACGACTATTTAAACACTCATAATAATTTTGTTGCGTGTAAACTGTATAGACAATCTAGCTTCGATTATTTTTTTTGTTTGATTAAATATTCATTTTTCATTAATAAGTAAGTACATTATTTCATGAATGTTAAGGAATATATCAAATATATTTATACTTTTTTTTTCAACATTGATAAAAGACGAATGTATCAAGCATTTATTAAAATATTTATGTTTCATATACTTCAGTTTTCTATCGTTAAATATTATATATTGTAGGAATTAATGATGATATAAAATTGTAGTTTATTAAGTTAAACAACAATGAGGTATAAATATTTTTTTAAATGTTATATATATGACCATTTATATAAAAAAACAAAAGACAACGTTTTAATGGCTAAATACAAAAGTACTAGTAATTAAACAATATAATTTATAAATGTCAGTAATGTTGTCATGGAGTATACTTCATGAATATTATTAAATCATCATTTTTATAATTGTGTAATTCAATATATAATAATGTAAAAATGTATTTTTTTATTAAGTATTTGCGTCATATCTTTATCTTAATTAAATTAAATATTTTGGTGATTAATAGACAAACATTGAAGTAATCTCGATATTGTTTATAATAATCGAAATTAAAAATATATATGAATTGCTTGTACTTCAGCAAATTTGTTAACGCCATACATCTGCAATTTATAAGTAACGATAGAAATTTAATTTGATGATATAATTAAAAAATATCATTAAAATTATATAAGTATAATAGCACAACAGATATCTTCTTACTTAGTTATATTTCAAAATATGAAATAAATAAGTAGCTTCAGAGGCATTAATAATATATACTATATATTAGATTAAAAATAAACAATTTTTAAATGATAGTATGAATCTATATTAGTATATTAAAATAGATAATCTTTTACGATAAATATTTTAATAAAAATCTTAAAGATTTTTAAATAACTTGTAATCGTGCAATCAATTACATAAAATAATTTAATTGAAATTAAATTATATGTAGTAATAATAAATTAATATTTGTTTATAAAATACAATATAAAAGTTTTATTTTCGATATTTTTTAACACATATTTTTAACAGCTTTTTAACCTTAGAATTATAACATACAAAATACATATTATAAATATGAAATTTACAAATCTTCTTTATATCAAGTCAAGAAAATATTAAGATTCTAAAATATTTACTTTAATCAAAGTAAAGGAAGAAAATCTTAAACAGACCTTGATGCAAGTAGTAGCTGAGAATGATAAGGCATACTTGAAAATATTTATTATAACGAAATACTACAAATAATATATAATGCCAGGAAACATAAATATATAAATGAAAATAAAACAGAAGATTAATAGTCAGATAAAAACGTGAAAGTCAAGTAAACGTTTAAGACTATATTAGACATCTAGTAAATTGAAACAATAAAAAAATATATAGAGATTTAAAGCATTAATACAAAGAATGAAAAAAATATAAAAATAAAATAAAAGCATTTAAAGTGGAAACAAAGAATAAAACTAAATAACTGTAATATATTAAAATGAAAATGTAGATAAAAAATAATACATAAATGATAGAAAAATGAAATCAGGTATAATGGCATAAATTGAAAATGTATTACGTAATAATAATGCTTATTCAAAGAAATAGTTAATTAACATAGATGTATAGAGAATATTTATTACTTATATCATATAGCATTTACATATGTTCACAATGAGTATTTTATAACATTAATTTAATTTAAAAAATTTGTATCTCATAACTATATAATATATATTTTAAAAATTTTAATGCAATCTTAAATGTTGTGTTAATTTGTAAATAATATTTTGCTTAATATATAATGTAACAATATTTATATTTTAATTATAAAATACATAATTATGATAAAAATATCACAATGTTAAGTCTTTTACTAATATTTTTTAATAGTATAAGATAATTAAAATTAAATCTGACAGTCTGAATTTGTTATTATCATTTAATTTTATCTTTAATAAATATCATCAATGCTTATATAAAACTATAAAACAACCATTTATTTTCATATACATTATTTACATTACAAATTAACAACTAGGAGTATGTCAATTTATTATAATATTTTACTTTATTAATTTGATATTATTGTTAAAAGTATTAGCATGCTACATTTCTAAGTATTTAAAGTCCATTTGGATGCTTTAGAGGTATATTAATCTTCAGAATTTGGATTTTTAATACTAAATTATTTATACAATATAAATAATCTAACTATATACATAACACATTTATATATAACATATGTTACTATAGATTTAATGTTTCTGAGAATTATTTTGTTCTATAAAATAGTATATTCAATAGTTAAACAATACTCAAATAGACTTCTATAATATGTTTAAATTTAATTTTGAAATTTAATAAACAGGAAGAGAATATCTATGATGTAAACAATGGTATATAAAATGAATACAATAGTAAATAAAAGTATATGTAATGTAAACAATGGTAAATAAACGTAGATAAAGTGTAAACAATAGTCATTGAAAGCACTCTTATAAAAAAAAGGAAATAGCACTAAACTTTATTGTATTTTAAAATTTAGTTTCATTAATTTAACATTTTATAAAAATTGTCAAGAATTACACCAATTCCAATCAAGGAACATTTGTTATATGTGTTAATAACTTGATAGGGAATGTAATACAATATTTATCAAAATATTAAATTACTGTACTTTCAAATTTTTGTTTTTAGAAAGTATTTTAATATGAATTATTCCGTACATCAAACATATCGTATATACTATTAAATGAAAAGTTAAATTAATTATAATAGTACATTATGTATAAATAGTATTTTAAACAATTTATAAATAATGTTATTATGTGTGACAATAGTTTAATAGAATGTTGAAGATGAAATAAAATATATTTAAACAATAATTTTAGAAAAAGAATAAAATCTAATTAATTCATTAAACTTGTATCATTTTTAAAGAAACGAAATATATTATTATTACAAGAAACTTTTTAATTTAAAGGTAATTTTTTGTTGCATTTTTAATTTTCTTTATATCGTTTATATTGTAGTTAAAATATTTACAGAAATATTAAATGTCCTTTTTAAGTGAAATTAAGAAACTGATCTATTTACTTATTATTAAAGTATTCTTACATTTATAAAAATTCTTTGTTAAGTAAACATAGATATACTGAGATTTTTATGTAACTTACAAATTATTAGCGATAAAAATACAAATATAGAATTATTAAATAATGATATGTATTATGTATATTATATATTATTTAATTTTATAATGATTTATTATGTGATTAAAACAGTTTTTCGATGAATTATTGGCTGAAGTTATAAATTTTGTTTTATGTTAGGACACTGATGCATTATTATAAAATGAAAATATACAATCACAATTTATTACTTAATAAGAAATTTTATATTATAATAAACTAGTTGTCAGTTTCTTTTATGAAACAATAATTATTAATTAAAAGTAGATAAATACTAATGACATTTACAATCAACATCCTTCTTCTACATTTTTGTAACAGATTCAAGTTGCTTTTCTTCATATTAAGGTCGGATGAATAAAACATTTGATTTGGCAAATGTTGAATTTATTTGTACGATCTACTTTGTTTTACAGCCATATAACCTATCCTATATGTTATAACTTTATTATTTCTGAACTTATTTAGTTTTTAAAAGATGAGTAAAGTCTTAATATAAGGAGTTCTTATTTACGTTTTGTAGATTCAATATGAAATTATAATAAATGCAGGAAATTTTTTATATATATTCTTAATATACGACTTAATTAAAAAATCAATCTATATAATTAGTTTCATATATCTTCATTCAAGTTCAGCAGCTCTGCGAAGTAACACATGAATTTTATCCTTAATCCAATTTTTGTTGTAAGGTGCATAAGTGTTAGTTGACTTTTGATAAACTAAACATGATAAGTCTGTCAAATCATCAAGAAAATCAAACAGCTGTTTGATATCATATGTGATTGTTGGTGTATTTGGATTTTGCCTCTTTAAATACTCTTCATATATTTTGCATACTCCTGTATACAAAATCATTTTTAAATTAAAAATATTAATAATTAAATTTTATATACAAATTATAAATTAAATTTATGATATTTAATAATTAATGTAATAAATTAATTATATAAAATGCTACTTATAATTTTTATTTTAAAGTATATTTTATTAATATAATCGATTATCTTTCTAAAAAGCCTTATAAACAAGTATGTATTAAAAAAAATAATATTCTAATTAGTATTATTAAATTTTTATCTTCAAATATATGTAATTGAAATTTAACATACTACTTAGTTACTATAACAATTCAAATTTTTTTCAATTAAAAATGATTGAGTATATTAAATTCTCTTTAATTTAAAATGAATTAGAAATTTGAAGATACATCTGTTTGCACTTCCGTTACCTAGTATGAATTAATATTTTTACAATTAAACTATATAATATATATATATATATATAAAGATATATACTACAAAGACGAATAATACATGTTTTCTTTCTAATAATTATAACAATTGCTCATGCTATGAAATAAAAATTTATTTAGAATATAATGTAATTTTTAACTATTGAACAATATTAATTCAAATATTAATTAATATTAATAAATATATATATATAGAAACATTACTACCTTCCATACATTCATTAACACTTTCATAATCGGAATATGTCCTTGTTTCGGGTCTGTTTGCAGGTTGAACAAGAAGAATAGTGTGAGACTGAAAATAAAGTAATAATAAAAGATTTACATGGAATCATTATTTATTATTTCGTTTAAGGTTCAATTTAATAAGTACCACCTTCAAATTTTTATAAGAATTATAAATATAAACGTAATAATAACCTACAATGAAATTTTTTAAAATACTTAACCAAAAGCAATTTTTATTTATATCTAATATATGAAATTTCGTTCCAACAAATATATAGAAGTATAATTACAAATATAAATATTTAGCAAGGTATATTTCAAGTACTTTTATTCAGAATCATAGGTGTATGTTTAAGTAAACAAACAAGTTCATTGTACGCGGAATATGAAGAATAAGAAATCGCTTACCATTGTAATAATCCAAAATTTTAAGTTTAGCTTTTAAGCGAACAAAATTTATTTATAAAACAGATACTGAATATATAAAAACTAAAATAACGCTATGTCATATATTGTACAGAATTATAACACTTAATAATTTCTAAACGATTTTTCGAAGAGGTCAGTTTACTTTTAATTCGATTGTAACTTATAAGCAATCCAGTTGAGTATTTCGAGCTTCACTTTATTCTTATCTTCTTTCGGCGAAATAGACAGGTATAAGCAACTAGGTTTCATGCGGTAGTCTCCCCCCAAGTCCGATGTTTCAAATCTAAATGCTTAGGAATTTTAATGATGATAGATCGAAATACTATGATTTCGGCAAACCTGTCTAAAGAGTATTGGTATACCTGATGCGAATCCTCTAGTACTCTTTTAACAAATAAATACTTTCCAAATTAGAAATATAATTTGAATTTAAGAAATAGAAAATAATTTTAAATGAAATTCTGTTAAAATATAAAATTATCACTTCATTCTGTACAATTTTTCAACCATTATCTGATAAAACCCACTATAAAGATAAAATAGATAAAATACAATGCAATAACAATAATAACAGTAATTATTATTATTGTTATTATAATAAGTTTTACATAATTTTTAATATATAACTCGATCAATAGAAATCTATTCATTGTAATATTAAGTAGTTAGAAAATAATTTGGTAATCTTCTATGAATTCATAGAAATTTAAGTTACAATCTTAGTTGAAGGAATTTAAACTTTTTTGACATTTGAAATGGCAAATTTATTTAAATCAAGATTAAATTATAGTTAAAATTTTAACTTTATTATAATGCATAAATATTAAATAAGTAAGTTTTTTACGATATTTTTTTACGGAAAAATATATGTGTTAATTAAGTAAAACTTTAATGTGTCTAAAAATAAAATATTTACAAGATAAAATATTTACATCTATACTTTTCTTGAAATTGTTTTCATATTTACACAAATATGATTTTATAAAATATTTAAATAAAGCATGAAATATAATAAAAATTAAAATTTAGTTATAAGAATTATTTTACATTTATTTTACAGTAAAGTAAACGTTGTATGTTCTTATACAGATATTTTATTATTAAATAGCAAAATAACGCTGTTAAAAATAATAATAAATTTAATAAGTACAATACAATAATTAATTTTTTATAAATAATATTGATATTCTGAAAAAAATATACTATTTTCAATAACATATGGTTTAATTATTTGAATTATATAAATTTATATATACAAATTTTTTTTCAATAATCTCATTAGCATTTAATATATATATCCAAAAGAAATTACGTTTTTACGCTTATTAAGCTATTTTAAAATATTAAAAATTTATTGAATCACTATTTAATGATTAATGTCTTTATTTTACATATTATCAAAAAATTAATTAAATTAATACTAATTGAAAAAAAAAACAATAGCGCATAAAATATAAAATTATTTATATATATATTTATATTTGTATGTGGTTAATTGAACCATTTTTTAGCAATAATTTTATTTCAGAATTTATTCAAAATTTAAAATTTACTATTTGTTTATTCTTTTTTAATAAGAATTATGAAACCATCAAATCAACAGTCATATGGATAAATTACTAGAATATGAATTAATTTCATTGGAGCCAGGCAAGACAGTTGATTATATTTAATAATAAACTCCCACTTTGTATTATTTTTGTAATAAAAGTAAATAAGCAAAAATATGATTAAACATAGCTTCACAAGTGATATTATATTTATGTAATCAAATTAAAAAACTTAATTTATTTTATCAATTATATAAGGCTTTTATTATCAAATACAATTTTTAAATAGTAATATTTTGTTATTACAAAATAAATATTTAAAAACAATAACATATTTTTCTTATATAAACATGGCAGAATCTACAAATTTTGCTATAATTAAATTGATAACTATATCTTACAAGCTTCATTATGCTAACTGTATATAACTATTTTTTTATTTATTAATTAATTTGTACTTGCGGAGTAACAGTGTAACAATATATAATTTTAATATATTAATACAAAAGTATCTATTTATATTGACATAGATCGTATATAAAATTTTACACTATATTAATTCCTATTTCTGAAAAAAGTTGTTTTTTACTACCAGGATAGCTTTCTAAAATACAATCAAGAATATCATTGCATATTCTTTTTCTTTTAGAATATTCTTGATTATATAATTTAAGATTAATTTCAGTTTCCTTTTTTAATTGACTCATATTTTCTAAACCTACATTTTCCATTAGCTCATCTAATTTTAAAGACAATTTTATATTACATTCTTTTAAACGATCTCGCTCTTTCTCAGCTTCTTCTAAATTCATACTACATTTAAGAGAATTAAAAGTTGCTTCTTGGGATCTAATTTCATTTTCTAGCTCTTTTAATTTTCTAAATTGTTCACTAGAATGTGTTTGTAATTCTCTTTCAATTCTTTTTAATTCGTCTAAATTTTGTTTAGGTTCTTGAATTATACAATAAACTTTTTGTTTAGCATTAATCTAAAATTTAAATATATGAATAAATAAATTATACATGTAAACACATTATACCACACCTACGCATACACACACGTGCATATTTTTAACAACTATTACAATTAACTAAAATGTACATTTACTTTAATAAAAAGTTTCTCGTTATCAACTAATTTATCTAATGATTTCTGAATTGCATTTTTAGTATGTTTTTCTTTATCCAAAACAGCTGCTACGTCATTGACACTGTATGGCCGATTTTGGAGTTTCATATATTTATATACAGCATCCGTTGTCATTCTGTCCTGCCAAGAAAAATATTGATTGTGGAAGCATGTAGGTTTTACAAAAATATATTGAATTAAATTATTTTATAATAAATGAGACAATTAACAATTTAATACAATCACAATGAATCATTGAAAAAATTTTTGCTGTTAAAATTTTTTCAACAATACACTATTTACAATTACAGAATTAAAAACTTTCAAATATCGTAATAAGATATTTAGAATGAACATGAATTTGAATAATTTAAACAATATACATATAGTATATTTAGTAAAAAAAAAAAAAAAATATATATATATATATATATATAAATATATTCATAGTTGATACATGATATTTTTAAAATAAAAATACAATAGATTTTAAATAATTTTAATATTAATTTTACTATTTAAATAAAAAGCTTATATAGTATATTAAAATACTTTGTTAACGAAACATGGCATTATATAGGATTTTAATTATTTAATTATTTTTATAAATGAATTTGATATACTTTCTGTTCTTAGCACTATTAATCAGAATTAATTGAAGTATAGTATATTTTAGTTGCAAATATAGAATGAAGTACTGTTTTATTTACAAAATGTTAAATAGTTGTGAATATTTTGAATGAATCAGTCCCAATGAAAAAGTTTATTGAAGCATAAGTATAATAAACTAGGGTTATTTTAGTATTGAAAAATCAAAACATACGCGAACAAAAGAATTTAGCTTTTATGAAGAAATATTGACAATTGATATACTTACATTAATATTTTCTAAACGTATAACTAATATTTTCTCCATAAATACCGAAATTTAGCACACAATAATTAAATTTATAATCATAAGAATGATTTAGATTAAATTTGAAATTTATAATAAATGCAACATAATATGGTGGGAAATGAAATATATAATTCTAATAGATAATCATGTTAATCAATTGTTCAAATACAATAATGTACACATAAACTACTATTAAAGTAGCAAACATCACTAATGCGACTTACAAACTATAGATTACTGCAGAAGTGGATGAAAATTAATATGGGTGACAAAACCAAAGATACAGTCGACAGTATCGACTTGATATAAATTATAGAGTACTATGTTTATGAGTATTTGCTGTGTTCGCTTTATTACACTATTGGCGTTCATTAGAGTTCCACGTTTTATAAAGTGAACGCGTAAGTAATAACCAATTAGAATGAAGCTATTGCTGCGCAAAATCAAGAATTTTTACGATTAGCAAGTAGCCATATCGTATAATTCATTGTGGAAAATTATAATTTTAAATTTAATGCAAGCATCTGTGTTGCAGGATAATAATATGTGGTTATATATTAGATAGTATATATTCTTTCAAAAGTTACAGAATGTATGCATAGATATTTAAATGTGCTATGAAAAATGTTCAAATACTTTAAATCATTTAACATTGTAAATATTTTCCGCTACACATTTCCACAATTGTTATGTGTACCTTAATACATAGCTGAACAAGTGTTCATATCCCGGTCAATTCTAATTGTTTCATACTCGCTCGTTTTTGTTTATGCTATATATATATATATATATATATATATATATATATATATATATATAATGCACTCGTTTTAAATTATTAATATATATTATATCTTGCCAAATATCAAGTTACTTTTATTATGGATAATTTTAAAGTCTTTCGTGTCGACTAAATTTTTATATATGTTTTTATGTTTTTATTTTATTTATTATTAATTAATGCCATTTTTCTTTTCTTATTGAAGAACGACGATTTATAGTGCTCATATGAGAATTGAATAATTTTTAAGAAAAAAAAAAATAAAATCAGCAATGGGAGATAGAAGTGTACACTTCAATATTCATGAAAGCTGAAGATATTTTGAATGGTTTTCATTTTTATGAAATAAAACTTCAAAGGTGAATTGTAACTATTACAATATTAGAGTGTAAAAATAATTAACTGAATGCAGTATCCAACGAGTTATGATTTTAAGCTACATTAAATTGAAATCTGTTGTAAGATCTTAACAAACTGAAATTAAATAGCAATATTATGCTTATTTGAATTGTGTGAAAATTTAATATGCATTTAAAATTAAATCCAGTAACTTCATAATATTTAAAATTATGATATGTACATTAAAAAGAGAATTAAATAAATTTTAAGCTCTTAAAAATCAAGAATTAAGGAGCATGATAAAAAACCTATACAATATTATTGTTGAATTGAATTTTGTGTTAATACGAGCTAATAATTATACTATCAGTTTGTGGTAAGAAGTAAGAATCAATCATCGTCGCATATAATATAAAGTCCACTTGCTTGAATTACAGAAAAATTAAATTTTTAGTGTTTAATAATGTAAAATAATAAAACGAATTATAAGTCAATATCAAATATCAAAGACAAATCGAAATTATATCATTAATATTTGATTTTATTCTTATCTATGATTGCTTTATAAGTTCAATATATATCATTCAATGTATGTGCTTGGGGGGAAATAATATATTGTCGCTAGCGTTTGATAAAATTCATAAATTAAGTTTTTGAATTATTGTATTTTAAATACTTTAATATTATTGAAATATGAATTATTATTAATAAAAATTCGTGCTTATTATCTAATCAGTCTCCTAAAATCGTTTATTTTTATGTTTATGACGTTTTTTCGTATAAAGACACTAATTACACATAGGTGAACTGACATATTACGAAATAGAAAATGACTAAACTTGTAATTATACAAATTTGCAATTTATTTTCTAGACAATACAGGCTTCTTTCATATTATATAATATTTATTACATTTGAGAATTGTTTAATAATTTTCATTTATTTACTAAATTATATTTACTAAGCTATACATTCAATATATAATAAATAATAAATAATTTATAATATTATAGAACTTTTACTATGCCTTTTAAAATTATTATTTTATAATTATGTTTAATAAATGAAGAGTTTGGTATTCTATTGGCATTACATTCAATGTGAATTTAAAATATTTTATGCCATTTACAATATTATTTATAAATATATTGCGAAATACTTTGTAATATAAACATTCAATACTTACTTTATACTTTTATAATTAGATAGTTGTAAATTTAATAAAAATTATGGAATATTTGGTTGTTTATTCAAAAGTTATTATAGATTAATTTATAATTTCTACACAGTATTAAATAAACGGTTTTATCTGTCTTAAATAAGTAATAGCTTATTAATTGAAAAGAAGATGATACGTGTAAGTATATAACGTGAGTGTTAACGTACTGGTAATACTGTACTTGTATAACGCTGTCAGCAAACTTGTTGACCATTCAGTGTACTCTTAGATTTATCCGAGTAAAGTGGTTATGTTCCTATAGCAATGGGTAAGTTATGCGTAGAATATATTTGTATTATTATATAAAACTCCATGAGATTAAAAAAAATTGTTTATTATGGAACTTACTGCTAGCATATTTTCAATTACCTTTAATAAAATTGATATTTTCTACATATATTTAATTTTACTTCAAATACATATATGCTAATATACAAATATGCGATTATATTTTTGCTTGCCTTAGTTTGGCCGAGTTTTAGGATAATTCATAAAAATCCATTTAAGTTTCAATAAATTATGTTCGTATCACACTTCATCGTTGTATTATTTTATTGGGATTAAGATTTCAAAGTAATTTAAATCTCTCTAAAAATAATAATTATTGAATTACACAGGAATCAACTCGTTTAAGAACTATCTATTTTATATTTGTACAATTTCTAGCATAATCGTTACAGCTAATCGTGGTTTTAAATTCTTTTCTGCAAAGATAGAGAGTATCAAACTTACGCCGTTCAAAGACAAGGAATTTCTAAAATTTTATAATAAAACTTTTTTAATATTATCTATTTTATTTGATATTTTATAGATTTTCAACATATAGAATGGATGCATTAATTATATAAATATTTTAAAACATTACGGATTATTTAAATTTTTATCGAAACATAAAATTATTTTAAATTAATCCATGTTTTCTCAGAAATTCTTACATAAATATTGTTTGGGCAAATATTTTTATGAATTAAATGTTGTAGATAGTATGAAATAGAATATATACATTTTTTGGAACATTTAAAATATTATCACAATTTTTATATAGTATATTAAATATTTTTAATTTACTATAAATATTCGTTTAAATAATATTAAAATATATTATAATTCAGTTATACCTACACACACACTTCATATATATCTATATAAATATGTAGGTAAAGTAAATGGATTAATTACGTTTATAAAAAATACATAATTTTTTTAAGAAAATCCAAAAATATATTAACAATAAGTGAAAAAATAAAAAAATACATGGTTACAAAAAGAATAGAATAATATACGAACATAATGATGAATTCTTTTTCAGTAGAAATATTATAAAAGCAATCTACTTAGGTACTTCGTAAAATAAAGAAAACGAGCAAAAATTTGAAAATATTATGTTTTTACACCAATAATATAATATAAAGAATTTATTTAAGACTATTCCATATATACTTTTTAATTATGTACTATTTATATTCAGTTTTAATTCATTTGAATTACTTTTCTTCATTCAGTTTTTAATTTTCTTCTTAATTGATATATAATTTAATTTTTCAGATTAAACATGAATCTATGTAATATTGAATTATTATAAAAAAAAATCTATATAATTTTAAGTATTAAAAAGCGTAATAAATTTATGAAAATTAATTTAAATTTTATATAATCTGAGGCGTTTCTATATCAAAATTTTGTAATAAAAAATATGGAATATTACAGAATAACATTAATATTTAAATATTGTTTTAAATATATTTTTATTTTGTAAAAGATCTTTATTTCATACTTTCATTATAATTAATTGTTTTATTAAAAAATATTATTAAGACTAAAGCTTAATATTAAAAAATTGTATTTTTCCATATTTCTATTACATTGACGCTTAATCTTCATTATGATACTGTATTTTCCGCCTCTCCATTTCGTCAATGATGAAATTGCTCTTAATACTATAAATTTCTTTATTAATTTTATATTATGATTTAAATATTTTAATTTCCATAATAAAATTTTTATTTGTATTTTATGTTAAAAATAAACGTCAAAATTATTATTATTACATTAATATTATTGTTTTTGGTTATTGATTTATACGTATATTATTACTATTTGTTTGATCACAATATTAAATATTATATTATTAAAAAATGTATATTTCTATTGTACCAATATATTATTTATTTTATATTACTTTATTCATTATTTATCATTTTCTATTATTAAATATTAAACATTAATGCTTATATTATGTTCTTAATTCTCGTATCCAGGGTTTGTTAAATATATTGTAATTTCTATTCATGTTTTTAATGGAAAAAATTTTCAACGACTTTATTTGTCATTTAAATTCCTAATTTATTCAGACATAAAATTATTTTAAATATAAAGACACAATTAATTTACTTTGCATGTTTCATAAATATAAATATTTAGTCATTTTATATATTTATTTATCTAGTAATTGTTGAAATATTGAAATAATTGTTTTTAATTCAATAAATTTTCATTATTACGTATTTTTATAATTTGTTGAGATCTCTAATATAAGTCTCTTTTAAAACTTTATATTTTTAATACGTTCCAGTTATTATTTCATATTTTACTTATCTTTTGATTTATTTATAAGGCAAAATTCTCATTTTATATTAGCCAGTGTGCATAAATTGATTCTTAAGTAATATATAAGTAATCCTATAAAGTCATTTTTCTATCCACCTTTTCTTTCTTACAATACATTTAGCATTATAAAATTTAATTTTTAAACAATGAGGTTTAAAATTATTTTAAACCCAAAAGATGATTCGCCGCCATTACAACATTTGTTTTCTGTCCCATGCCTTTTTGCCACAAATGTTTAATAATTGAGAAATTTTAACTATTTAAACGAACTATTTTGCGATGTATGATCATTTATAATCAAAGCCACTCAATTGCTATATGATAATGCAATTAAGTGACCAAAATCTCACTTATAACCACTACTAGCTCACTGTAATAAGCACAAGAACGTATATAAATAATAAATAATTCTAATAAATATTATTTTTGTATTTGAAAAACATAAATTAAATTTTTAATCTTTTATATTTACAGGTATAATCTGTTTAACTGTCGCTGTGTTTGTATTTTCAAATATTGTTTTATCGACCGCGATTCCGACTACTACTTTTATGAAAGGCAGTGATGCACTACTATCAGCTCCGCTTATAGATGGGTATTCATTCAAATACTATATTAGTTATTATTTAATAATAATATAAATGTTTCAGTTATTTAATTCTTTAATATGCATTAAATCGTCAAGGGAAAATTGTACATGATAATAAACAATTTTTCTTCTATAAAGTATCGAGTTTTTATAAATTTATGCAATTTTAATTTTTAAAAATTAAAAATTTTAATAAGTTAAACATTTTTTCATTAAATTACTTATATTTCGTTAAAATCTCTATATAATTGTTATAATTGAATGAATTTCTTCTATTAGAAATTAAATTATTTCAAATATAACTTCAAATGTTATAAATATTTTAGAATTATAAAATGATTAAATTATTATCTAAATGTTTACCTCAAATTGCCTAAAATTCCTATAAATAAATGTACATATTATTTCCCATTTCATATTAATTATATTTTAATTTATTATTTTGTAATTAATGAAAAATATTTTATTTTTTATATTGTTAATATATTTTTTAAATTAGCCTTTTAAATATATTTTTTTAAACTAAATTTTTCAGCATGATAATAAAGAAAATCGCAAATGACTGATATTATCTTAAAACGATTTAAATAATTTTGTTTTAATTAAAATATAAAAACAATATTAAACGATGATAGTTTTCTACATAATATATTTTTCACATAGATAATACGTTATTTAAATTTTTAAACAATTTAGTACAGTCAATTACAGTGTTTAATAAAATATTTTTTGCAATTTCTTATCGAATATTATAATGATCATTAATATCTAACATTATTGAAAATATTAATTGATATAATTTTTATTGGCATATAATAATGCTAGAACCATAATTATTTATTCATATTATTAATATTTTTAAATGTACACAAAGTATAAGATTTAAATAAAATAATTGTTATTCAAACATTTTAAAATGTACATAGTTTCGATGCGAATAATAACTTTTTGATTGAATTTTAGGCACAATGATTTACCCTATTCTTTATACCTTATCGCCAATAATGATTTAAGTAATTTTCAATTTGAAAAGAATCTAACAGATGATAAAACTTGGGGAAAAGATACTTGCAAAGCATGTGTGACCGATTTACCACATTTAACTGCAGGAAGAGTAGGAGCGCAGGTAGATTAATAAGAATCTAATTTTTTAATAATTACACTCTCTTTTATTTGAGCGTGCTATGTGCTGAGTAAAATAACACATTTTTACACAAATGCTTGTAATGATAATCAAAATTAAATAATAAATTTAAAATAGAAATAATTTTCATATTTAATACGTATTGGTTAGACTGATTTTACGAAATTTATTAATATCATTATTTTTCTTAGTTTTGGGCAGCATATGTTGATTGTAAATCACAATACAAAGATGCAGTTGAACTAACTCTTCGTCAAATTGATGTAATTAAAAGATTAGTAAAAAAATATTCTGATAAGTTAGAATTTGTATCAGTAGCCGATGATATTGAATTCACTTGGAAAAAGGGAAAAATTGTTTCTATGATTGGTATTGAAGGAGGACACTCGCTCGACTCAAGTTTAGCAGTTTTACGACTCTATTATGAACTTGGTGTACGATATCTTACATTGACTCATACATGTAATACTCCATGGTAAGAATAACACTTTTATTTATAATTGCAATGTTAACAAAAAACGGATTACTTTAGATAAAGTAGATTATTTTTAAAATTCGTATAAAAGTTCTAAAAAATTTTAAGAAACTAAATAAAAGTAACATTATTGATACTAATATAACTTTTAAAAACATTATATAAATTTCTTTTCATATTTAAGGTATTTGATAGACTCAAAGTAAAAATGAAGAAAAACATGTTAGTTTCATAATGTAAACATTGTATCAAAATAATGATCTTTGATATCAATTATTATTAATAAACTGCTTATGAATCATATGCTTGTACTTTAGAATATTAAAATTTAATTGCTTCAATTCTCAGTAGTGAAAATTTTTTTTTAAGTAAGATAAAAAATGTATATTGAGTTTCGTTAAATCATATAGTATGCTAACATTAAACATTACAATGAAAAAATATTTATAATTTACAATAAGTTTAATAAAATATCGTTCATAATAATTGTATATTAATTTTATATTTTAGAAATTCTTGAATATCTTATAAAAAATAATATTACGCTATCATACGGTATAGTATAATACTAGTAATATTATAAAACATTCAATTCTCCCATATTTATAAGATATTGGATAGTTCTATTCTGGAAGCTTCTATATTGGAAGATATATTTATTTTATTGTTTTTTACTTAAAAAATGAAGCCATGAAAAAATGAATATTTATCAGTTTAAAAGAAGTGTAGTCAAAGTCACTCACCAAGTTGAAATTAATATAAAAGAATGTACATAATATTAGTTACAATATAGTTACAATATGAAATCAATATTTTTTATAAATTCTGATAATTTGAATCAAGTGTGTTTATTTTAATAATTTTTGTTTTAAAAATTTTTTATAATGATGTCTTTATTGGTGATTCTTCAAAGTGGAAGGAGAACCTTAAAGCTGTGTTTCTTTATGTTCAGTAATAGTTCATTTTGTTATCAAATGCTAAAAAATTAATATATAAATGCGTTTTACATGATTGAATTAAATCAGTTTTAATCTTAAAATTGCATTCAAATATGTTATAAATATTTTATCAAAAATTATTAGAGAATATTGTCCAATTCATAAATTTCAATACATGATTTTCTACTCACAGAAATGTGTAATTTAATTATTGATTTTTTCTTGTTTGTATTTTTTATGTAAACGAACTATTTAACATACTTATTATTACTTTTAATTTTTAAGAAAATTTTTCATTTAATAATAATATACAATTATTGTGATTTTAATTTTTAAATAAATAAAACTTATTTATTTGATTTTATAAAATGATTTCTTACGGTATACGGATTATTTTTTAATAATGGAAGTACAGATTTGGTTACAGAATTATTGAAAAATATGAGACTTCGTTCTATTAATAATAATAATTCGTTTCTTTTTATTAATTACTAATTTGACAATAAATATGATTACTTGATATTCTATTATTTTAGTATATTCATAGATATTCCATTGCTTAAATTTTTACAAATTCAACAATACCAATAAAAAATCCATTAAACATTATTACACATCAATAATTTATCTCTTTTTTTTAATTTGAATTATTTTTTATGATTCTTGTATATTCATAGATATTTTTATAACATTAAATTTTAATATAGTTAATTTATAAATATTAGATAGAATTTTTCTTTCATGCATTAGCTTACAAAATTATTATTGCTTTACATATCATATGATAATCTATAATTGCTAATTCATAGAGTTGTATATTTATTAAGTTTCTTCATATAATCAAATCATATTTTTTAAAAAATACAGTAATGGTAAATTCCGGAAGGGTTTATATAAAATATACAAATAGTGTATAATTTAACTTGATATTTGTAATCAGATTTGACTTTGATTAATGATTTTTATAATTAAATCTTTATATAAATATTTGTATTCTTATACAAGTGGGTGTGCACACATGCTTACACATTTTCAAAGTTTGATTCTAGTTATTGTTATTTTATTTTTATATTTATATTTATTTTTATTTATCGTCTATAAAAGGTCAACTACTTTTATTCAAAAGTACAATATTAATATAATCTATTTTTCTTTTCAACATTTTAGTATCGTATGCTTCTCACATTAAATTCATTTTTTTCTTTTTTTTTAATATTTTACCATAAATACTAATCAATTTTATATTATAATTTTCACATTAACGTATATTATCAATTTCACATGTTTAATATTCTAGGGCAGATGCCTCATCAATAAATGATCAATTCATGTATAATCTTACAGAATTTGGGCAGGTAAACTATACATTTAATAGTAGAATTAAAATATTTACATTTATTTTATATGAATATAAGTGTTTAGAGAAGCGTTGTTGCTATTCTTAAAACATAAAATGAAAATATGAAAGTAATAATTAAAAAACTAAATAAGTATTAAAAATTATATAAAAGAAGGAATAAAAAAAATATAATAAAAAATTAAATATAAAATAAAAAATTTACTTATATTATTAATTATAATTTAATAATAATAATAAACAAATAATATTAATTCTTAGAAAATTTTTCTACTAGAATTCTACAGATTCTTGCATTTTCTATTTACATTTCCATATTAACTTAAACATAGAATCAGCTTTGCACAAAATAGAAATACCAAATTTATATATATATATTTGTATATATTTAATAGATTATAGTTTGGGAAATGAATCGATTAGGAATGATGATTGATCTTTCGCACGTATCGCATAATGTTATGCGCAACGTACTTAGTATTTCAAAATCACCAATTATTTTTTCACACTCATCAGTGTTTACACTTTGTAATAATTATAGAAATGTTCCTGATGATGTTTTATATCAAGTAGTAAGCATTAGTTAATTATATTAATCAGAATTTATATTAGGAAATACAAAATTTTATGTTTTCAGAAAATAAATAATGGTATTATAATGATTAATTTTTATAACAGTTTTGTAAACTGTGATAAATCGAGAAATGCTACGCTAGAAGACGTTGTCGGTAAAACTGAATTGCCTATTAATTATAATATATCGATAAGCATGTAAATGTTTTAATTTACTTTAATTTTTTAAATAGTATTGATAACAAATTAAAATGTTGATGGAAATATACACATTTTTCTGCAATAAATTAATATTTTATCTTAAATAAAAGTAAAAATACAAATTTATTTTTAAATAAAAGAAAATATTCTAATATGAAAATTAATTTATATTATATATTGTTTTTTATTAATAAAATTATTGAAGTAATTTAATCTTTCCATAGCTCATATCAATTACGTCAAAAATCTTATTGGTATTGATCATGTGGGAATCGGTGCTGATTACAATGGTGTTACAGAGTAAGTATATAATTTATTCTTTTTACCTTGATTAAATTGATTCAGAATACTTATTTTAATTTGATATTATATTGTATATTATATACAACAGCGTTTATTCTATATTTTAAAAATGCATTTAAAATTTTATAGCCGATGCTTGAGTCATTAACATTATAAATTATAAATTATCTTGAGGTATCCATAATATTTACTATACGTTTGATAAAAATATTAAAAATATGAAAATTACATACTTTAATACGCTGCTATATTAACAATATTTTTTTATTAACTTTACAATATTTTATAAATTTTATTTATATTCAAGCACCTTTATATTTATAGAGAAATCGAAAATGTTAGAAACGAATAATTTTAGTATTTGCGTTTATAATAACATTACATAATTCTAAAAATTAAAATCTTTTTATTAATTCAATATCCTAGAAAGCGCGTCAAATAAATAACAGAAAAAATAAAAAATATCTAGAATTATTTAAAAACATTATTTAGAAAGCATTTTGAAAAATTACTTAAGAATATATAATATTAATTAAGAATAAAATTTAAATGTATCTAGTTACATGTTAATTTTAGTTTTTTTTTTATATAATGAACTATAATGTTTATTAATATAGAAAATAGATAATATATATATATATATATATAATCGTTATCCCAAAAACTTATAGTGAAAAATAAAATTATTATTTTATTCAGAAGTCTTACATATTCGATATTTTATATGCTAATTTAATATATTTATGTTTAATTGTATTCTTTTGAAAATTATTCCATTTATAATATTAATTTTCTCGTATACGCATAAGAATTTATTGTTTTAATTTCGTATTTTTATTTAATAATGGTATTGTAATATATTTTAGCAACGTTTTATTTAAGCTCAAGTTTCTTGTTAAGTATTTATATTCATTGTTCTCTACATTTATAACAATAATATTAATTGAAGTATCTAAAGATTCTTTTTAATTTATTTTGAATTTAATTTACGACAATACCGGATTTTTAGGACACCAATAGGTCTCGAGAACGTCTCGAAATATCCTGCATTATTTGATCGTCTTTACGCCAATAAAGAGGGTGAGACAGAGTGGAGTAAAGACGATCTTGAAAAACTAGCTGGAAGAAATTTGATCAGAGTCTTCAAGGAAGTCGAAAGTGTTTGTATTTTACATATATTTTACATATTTTCTTTTTAGCAATTATTACGCAGTTTACTAAAATCTGGAAATCTAAGTTCTTAAATATTTTTTTAAAATTTGATTTCAGAAGATTTGATTCGAAATATGTTATTTTAATATTAATGCTATCATGAACTTTCTAGCACTTTCTTCTTAAGTTTTTTATTTGTAGTTGCGACGAATGCAACGAATATGGCAATTGTAATAGATTAACATTGCTTCATTATGTTGATACATACTGCATGTTTAATGAAAAAAAAAAAAAAAATTACATTCAGATAATTGTTATTAATAAGATTTATGATTAGTAATAAGAATACAAAATATTAGATCAATTTTCGATCAAATAGAATGGAATATTTTCATTATTATATTAAAACTTTCTAGAAACGTCACATTAGTACTAACGTGTTTCATATTTAAATAAACAATTTCATGTCCTTCAATGCTAATAAAAACTATGTAGTAATTGCTATAATATATCTAATTGAAATTAAAAGGAATTCTAAGTTAGCAAGAAAGACATTTTTTTATGAAAAATCTCAAATGGTTAATGTTCGTGAGATATAATGAAAACTCTTATACAGGTTCGTAACTCAATGAGATTTCAGTTACCTTATGAAAATATTATTAGCGGCAACGAACTCAGAGTTGCTCAAGAAAACGAAAAATTGAAACCGGGTCTTTGTCAGACAGCAAAAGAGTACGTATATTAAAAATTATTTTTATTTATTGTTTAATGTAAAATAAATCTTAATATATAATTATCCTTTAGATTGAATAAAAAGTACTAAATATCTAATCATTTTATATTACATATTTGCTATTATTTACATGAATTGTATAAAAATCTATTACTAAGGATTTTTAATTCGAATAATAGTTACCAAATTGAATTTAATTACATAATAATTATAAATTATATTAATTTTTTAGATGGAACAATGTAAAGGAAAAGCTTGAATTGTAACGTTATAGAAAATAAATGCGTATCAATCATCCATTAATGAATGAATTAATTTTAAAATAATAAGTTGTAAAATACTTCATAACATTGTTAAAAAATTATTTATAAAAATATACAAAATAATCTAAAAATTGTATCGTCATTTTTAATCTACCTTAAAATAGAAAAATACGCTATTACATATGTAAGTCACACGTAATTTACGATAGTAATTATAGAATAAGTTTGTTTACAAATATGAATTTTCTTGCATGTGGTGGGAGCTGAAATTTATAACTATACACATGTGACCTTACTGTGTTTCGAATAATGTGGTCATCGTATAAGGCGAACGCTCAATCAACTGGATTACGTCGCATGCAACGGTAGTCTATTATTTGATTTCGCGTGTATACTTTGAAGAAACAAAGAAAAAAATGTTTAGTCACAAGTACTCGCTCGTCATATGCATCTATACATTAGTGTTACCTTCCTCTTGTGTTGTTAAGGATATTTTAACCTCTGCTATAGGTAAGATTGCCAATATATGTAATCTAAATAAATATAAAAAGTACGAAATATCCAGTGATCATTTTGATGATTTGATGTAAGCTTTTTTTTTTGTTGAAATGTTTAAGCTTATTTTTATATAGCTAAGGTTATTAAACGTCGTTAATAAAATTATAATATTAATATTTTATAAAGAATTCATTTAATAATTGGAGAATTTTTAAATATAAACTAATTTACTAATTGAATCTAATTCACAAAATATTTGATAAAAGTTTAATTTGTAAACGTAAAATTTACTATAGTATTAATATTTTTCATATAATAGTATGTAAATTTGTCATACATTATGATTTACATGATCAGTTGCTCTAAATGTAGAGCAAACAAATTTTCGTTTTGAATATTCAAATATTATAGCTAAATAAATTCAAATAAGCCGATAACATAAAGATAAAGTAATTCGTTCTTTCTATAGGGCTAGTCAAATTAAAAAAACAATTGTTCACAAAATTAACGATTGTACGCAATTGAATTTATTTTTATTGAAATTTAGTATGATGTAATTCAATATATATATCACAGTTGAGTAGTTATAAAATGCATGATATTGCATTCAAAATAAAAATAGAAGTAATAAAACATTAATTTATTTTAGAAATAATTTTTTTATTAAAAAATTTAAATAAAAAACATCTTCAGCAAGTTAAAAAAAATTTATTTTCATTTTCTAATTCCTAACTACAAATAAAAGCTTAAATTTATTTTAATTATATTTAATGAATATATTTTTAGTTTAGTATATTTAATATTGCGGTGTATTATTTAAAAAATATATTTAAATAAAAAATATATTATGAAGCAAATTTCAATATAATAATTAGATATTTTTAATCACAGGCATCTCTGGAATCGCTCCAGATTATCAAAATAAAATAAACTTAATATTATATCAAGGGTAAGTATTTTTGTTCAATTAGGAATAATTAATATTAGTGTATTTAATAATGTAATTAATTCTTATAGAATTAGGTTTTAAAAATAATGAATGACATTCGTATTAGACGCGCATACACAGATTTTTACTATCTCCATAGAAATATATATATTTTTATTAAAATGTAGATAAATACTAGTTAAATTTTTACAGATTATCATGTTTAATTTTCAATGCAAGGTTTTGATTATGATAAAGCAATTATCTTTTATTAATATTTTCAGTTTGTTTATAAAACTGTAATAAGTAATAATTGCGATATTTGTATTTGTATTAAATTTTTTAAATTCATATTTTAATGTTTGATTTAGTAATCATATTTTCAATAACATTATATAGTAATTGCCTATCTATATTAAACTTAATTCAATCGATATATTTTATCTTAGTTTTTATAAAAATTATCTTTAACAGATTATCGGTGCAAAATGCTAAATCCTATAAATATTCACTTGCTGAATCAACTGAATTAAAAAATCATCTTGATATAAAATTGCCTTTCGTTCTCTATGTTCACGGCTTTATAGAACATTATTCTAATGAAAGTGTCCAAACCATTATTTCAGGTAATTGATGCATTGTTTATGAATATTTAGATTGTTATATCTAGTTATTCTGAAAAACAAAAATTTGATAAGCAGTTAAATTGATTTATAAGGATGAATTTTCAACATACAATTGCTTAATATGAAAAAATATATAAGATCAATTAATTTATTATTTATATATATAAAGAGATAATCATTGAGTTTCTACAATTTCTAATTTAATTTTTCTATAAAAAATTGATAATTTTTTAATAATTAGTTATGAGTATTACAAATATAAATTATAATTCATGTCATTATTTACTAACTCTTACCCTTATTATGACTATTGTTATTATGATTGATAAATTTTTAAGATTGCTATTGATAATATTCTATTAAGATATTGACAGTGTAATACAAATAGTCAACGTATTAAAATTATAATACTCTTTTTTCAGAATAATCTTAATATATCTAAATTTTCTATATATAGCATATCTTCAGAAGGGCGCAGATAACATTGTAATATTGGATTGGAGTGCGTTCTCTTATGAAAATTATGCAATATTGTCTAAACGTATTAAAACCATTTCAATGTTCACGGCCAGAGCACTAGAGGACTTAGCAAAAGCTGAAATATTAAATGTCGATACTTTGCACATCGTAAGTCACTCTCTAGGTTCACATCTAGCTGGCTTTCTGGGACGCTTTCTTAGTTTTACTATTCCCAGAATTACTGGTATGCCAAATATGCTATTGAATTTATTTATTAATTAAAGAATTATAGTATTTATAAATTTAATTAAATTATTTATATATTTAAAAGTTATTTCAAATTTATATTTCATTTTTTTCCATTTTTTCAAATCAGTTTTAATGGAATAACTGAAACACAAGACATAAAAACAGTTCTTTTAGTTATTTAAAATTTATTTAAGTGTTTTTATCTTTTACAAATATACATAAAAAATTTTTTTGAGTTAAAATTTTCATTATATCAATCAATATTAATTTATATAAGATTCAAAGTAGAACAACAATAGTACAAATTAATAAGAAAAATATAACATTATAAACACGAAAAGTTAAATAAATTCTAATTTTTAAAACGCTTTTTGTTTTCAAGAAGATGTTAATTATTATAATTTATATAGTTTATAATAATTTAAAAAGCTTCATGCATAGAAAAGAATACGTTAATTTATTTAAAATTGAATATAAACATAAGTATAGTTTATCAAGTTATAAGTCGTTGGTTTCGATTAGTAAAATATTAGAGTGATAATAAACTAAAATTTCCCAAGGCGTTAGTTTATCATACTATACTAATGAGATTAAAGTCTAGAATCATTTAGTTGCAAACATGTCAAATGCAACGTATATTGCTACAATAGTTCAATGAACAACTGTGTTCGATCAAATTTCTGCTATAAAATATTAAACAGATTATACATGCATCAAAAGCTAAAGCTTAGTGATTTGTGAGTTCTATTTCTATTTACTTAGAATAAAGGTATTTGAATATATTTGAAGTTCTAAACATTATAATAGATGTTTCTGGGTAGTTGCTTGTATAAAAATTATTGTATAATTTTTTCAAATTTTAATACCTAAAGAGAGTAAAATAATGATCACGTGAATTGTAAATAATTTTTTAAGGAACAAATAAGTATTAACTTTAAAACGCGTATAACACCATATAAAACATCTACGCTTTAATTATAGGGAATTATTTATAATAATTGAAATTAAAGCGAATTGTGATTATTAGATGAAAATTATCAAAAAAAAAAAAAAAAAAAAATGAGTAGATTAATTAAAAAATAATCGTTTTAACTGATAAGAATTGGCATTAAATAATTACTTATATCAAATAAAAAATCGATGAAACAATTATTTGATTGCAATTGTCATTTATTATAAAGAAATATAATTATATTATATATTCGTAGTAATATCATACATAATAAATTAAATAAATACAAAGTTCTCAAAAATTTATATATATTAATATTCATCTAAAATTCCCGATATTCTAATTTACACATTCAAAGTTAAAAGTACATATAAATTCTGTATATTTTGGTTCATAAAGGATTATATTTAAAAATTTTTTTTTTATATATACATATATGAGTATGTATGTTTTAATTATAAATATTTAAATACATTTAATTAAATATATTAAAATGTATTCAATTATATATATTTATACAAGTTTAATTAAATATATTCTACTAAAAAATAAAAATACAATTAAGTACATTTTACATATATTTAATTCTATAAGTTTTATGTTAAATATGGTATACTTGTATTTTCATTTCTCGATAATTAATACCTGATTCTTGGAATTTATTCAATCCATTGTTTAAATTTTCTGTAATAAGAATTTCAATAATATTTTTTCATGAAAATTATTATATTATTATGGTAAAAGAATAATATTTTATATTCTAACTAGTTTTTTTATATATTAAAATATTAAGAAATAAATTAATAATATGTGTAAATTATTTTAAAAAATTTTTAATTTTATTGCAACAATAATTTTTTTTTTGTGAATAAAAAAGATTGTAGATTGAAATTATAGTAATTTCTAAATTTTTAATTCTTATGAATTTACAAAAGAAGCTATAATTGAGTAAATATAAAGTGAAGATAAGTTATAAAATTTACTTCTCCCAACTAAAGAAACTTTGATCGGCCATTATTATAGCTTTAGATCCGGCAAACCCTCTGTTTTATCAGCTCAACGCCGAGCACATAGACAATAGTAGTGCAGAAATAGTCGATGTGATCCACACAGATGGTGGTATGTACGGAGCAAATCCCAGGACAGGAACTATTGACTTCTTTGCTAATGGGGGCATTAGACCGCAGCCTGGATGTCCAGCAATAGGTACAATATAAAGTATTCAATCATATAAAGTAACAATGAAAAATATTCAATTTATTTAAAATTCCTGATGTCCAAAATATCAGTAAAATTAAAATCACGTTAAAAAAATTTTCATTACTATTTGTTTAACGGTATTTATTATATGTTAAAATCCACTTATCAGAATATCATAAGAACGAGTGTAGTGAATTTAAACAGGACATTCTTGGAGTTAAAAATTAATTCAGTACATTATTTAATTTAAATTTTTATTAAATATACATTCTTTATCGTACAAACTATTTTGTAATAGTAATTCATAAAATTCTTAAGGCTCATAACCATATATATGTATATATATGTTGTATATAATTATGTACAAGTATATGAAAATTTATCTATGAGATATTTATATATGAGAAAGAGAATCATATAATTCATGAACTTTTACATAATTTAAAAAATACCAAAATCATTTTAGAAATATTGAGAGAAAATAATAATATAGTCTTACTATAAAGAAAAATTAATTTTCTTATGAATACAGTGTATATTCTTAAAGAATTTATAAAAGTTAAACATACACTTTTGATTTACATTTTAAATACAAACTTTTAACATTATTCAATATTATTTAATAATTTTTTTTTTTAATAAAGTCTGATATTTTAAGTTTGTCTCAGGAAGAGACGGATTTTACTTAATTAGGAAATTTATTTCACTTTCATCCCAATAAAATCATGAACTTGATTAAATAAAATCCTATATTTTTTACTCATAAAATGAAAGTTAAAGTAGAGAAATATAATTTAAGACATTACATGCACATTCGACAAACTATTATATTATTAGTGTAGATTGTTATTTGAAATTTGTACTTAAATGCTTTTGTTTAATATCTTAATTAATTATATCGTTAATTTCAGTAAACGTTAAAATAGTTAAAGCTTATAAAATTAATAACCAAAACAGTATAATAATATATGAAAATAAATGTCAAAATTTAATTAACATATCCGAAGCATTGTTAACAAATTTTTTAATATTTTACTTATTAAAACTATTATGTTTCTGAAAATATAACAAAAATAATTATAATTTTTCAAATATTTCATAAGATTTTTTAATTATTAACATTTTTGTAAAAGAATTTTGAAATTGTTTATTATTAATGGTAGTCTAGAAATTTCAAGCCGCAAAATGATTTGACTACATTTTTATATTGTTTAAAACATGTATAATACGCTAAATATTTGATACAATTTGTGAAGAATTTTCTATACATATAAGCCAACAGATTTTTAAAAAACAATCGTATCCGTGTTTATTTATATTGTTCGCTTTCAAATTAATAAAATTGCAATAACATACTATGCAGCTCACTAAAATAAAAAAAAACGAAAAAATGATTATTTTTAAATTAGTAACAATATTATAAAATTCCCAATCTTTTTTCATATTAAAGTGTTAAATTTATATGAAATAATATATTAAATTATTATATATTTTTTCAAATCTATATACAGAAATTTAAAAAATAGAATCATATTTCAAAAGTTTTATACGGTCGAAATTTCCAAATATAAATATAAATATAAAAATATAATTATAAATCTCATTCGACTATAATAATTTTTACTAGGAAGTATTTTAAACATTATTAAAAATAATATATATAAAACTTAATGGTAAAATTGTATTTAATCCTTTGGAAAAAAACTAACTATAATTTTACATTTATAACGTATTTTTTGGTTGTATTTGGAACAGATATAGTTTATAAATAAATGCAAATTTTAAAACTTAAATTAATTTTATATGCACCGTATTAAGTCTAAATTATAGAATATAATAATTACATAATTACTAAATGGGTATAAATTATATCCCAAATGATATAAAATGGATGTTTTTAACATACGATTGTTCGATAACAATTTATTGCAAATAAATTTTGTTTATTCAAATTTTGTATTCTACATGAAGTCTCAATCAGTGTTTTCTTTTTAATATTTTGAACCTCATGATATTAAAAATTTTCAGAATACTTTAAAAGTAATTATTATTTATTATTATTATGAAATATACAGGTATGTGTAATCATCATAGGTCATGGCGATTCTATTCCGAATCTGTGTTAAATGATACAGCTTTTCCGGGCCTTGCATGCGCATCATTTGAAGACTTTAAGGCAGAAAAATGTAAGGAAAACGAAATAGTCTACTTTGGATATTCAATGACTGCAAAAAGGTAAGTATTTCTTAGAGTTATCGAGATATATATAAAGTATATGGTAATTTTTTAATTTACAGACTTAAGTTTGTTAAAAATGAAGATATTATTTTAGTATGGTATATTAAACTTAAAACATAATATTTCTTAATGATTAAATTTTTGAAGCATATTTTCTGAATATTTTAGTATTTCAATTTTTAACAAAGAAATAACTATAAAAAGACTTTGTTTTTTTTTGTAAAACAATAAGACATCTATACAACAATGTACAATTACACATAATACTATACAAGAGTATTTGTTGAGTTATAAATGTTATAAATAATATTGTCCACGATCAAATATAGATAGACATATTAAGGGGATAATAAGAGTGAAGAGTAAAATAAAAAAAGACAATTATAATATTTAGTAGATTTAATAATATAATTTATTTACAGCAATTCCTTTTATAATTTAATAATTAAAACGTAAGGCATAGAATTTAAAAAATTCATTTAAAGATATATTTATTTAAACATCTCCACGTTCTATTTCTTATATTTATACATTAATAACAATGATAATTAATATTACTTTCACATTAATTAATTCTATACGCTGAATGATCTGAACAAATAATAAATTGAATTAAATTTGAAATATTTGACATTATTTTCTATTCAAAATATATGAATTAGAATCAAAATTACTCCTATTTTGATATGTTTAATTGAAATAATATACATAGTAAATATTATATAGTTCATTCAACATTTACCATCTTAGTTGTTCCATAACATAGTCATTATAATTACTTAATTCAATTCATATAGGTTATCAAAAAAGGATGTTACGATTTTTGCTATGATTATATTTCGAAATTTAATCTATAAGCAGAAATTTAATTTATAAAAATAACAATTTTATGTATGCACAATTTGAGATTATAGTAATTTATCAGTTCTAATTCAATTAATCATATTTTCATCCATTAATAAATAAAAACTTATGTTTTCTCATTAAGTTTTTTATTCATTGTAATTGCCTTTATTTATTGTTTTTTCAGAATATTATTATTCAACATAATTATGTTAATAATATTTTGTAAAGATATGAGTACATTGTGTACAGCTATGATAACAACATATATAAGCATTATTAATTCTTACTGTTAAATTCATTGAAATGTACATAGTAAATATAAAAGAATAGTATAAAAAATAAGAGTATAATAGAAATTCATGATTATATTTGTTTTACGGCTTTGATTATAAAATATTGATGACATAAATGGAAGTAATAAATACCAAAAATATTTAAAATATTTGAAATCCAATTTAATTAACTGTATGAAAAATAAAAAATATTATTAATGGTATCCCATATCCATATAAAAACTTTTAAAAACTACATATGAATCAAGATGCCGACTATTTATTGATTAATAGAATTTTCGATATTGAAACATTCCTTGTATCTTGTTATCATGAATATTATCATAAAAGTAGACTTTTGTATAAAAATGGAAACGTTAAATTGTAAATAAAATAAAAAACTAGGTCGTAAAGTGTTACTTTAATAAGAGAATTACAATTGATTGCTTGTCTCTGTTATTAAAGATAACAAAATGCAATTAATATAGAATTAATCAAATCTTGAAACAAACTTAAAACTATATGAAGCTTTAACAATAGATGAATATTTTATTTAGATAAAAATTTTGAATTTTAAAATTAAGATTTTTATAATTTTCAATGTTATTTTAAGATGAATAAAACCATTGTTAAAAAAAAAAAACAAAATTAAATTATAAAGACTGAAAATTTTAAGTTGAGATTGGAGAAATATAACATTCAAAATATTATTTCACAGAACTTTTAAAAGTCAAAGTAATTATATATTTTAATTACACACAAAATAATATATATATATATATATATATATGTATATCTCTATATATTAAGGCGAGATATTCTTTATGATTTATTAGAATATATAGTTATAATTAACTACTAATCGTTAACTGCTTATTAAAATGTTAAAAGGGAAATTGATTATTTATAAAATTTATTATCTATAGTCCGGGTATAATTATTCAATAGTCTACCCCGTATTCTACGTATTTTGAAATATTCAATTATATATATAAAACAGTAAAATAAAAAACAACTTTACATTAACAAAATTGAGCACATACAGAATCTGTGAGAGTATAGAAAATATTTTTCCTAAATTCCTAATGATGTATGAACAAGACACATGTAATCTGTAGAATAACCAATTTGTATATAATGTTTACGTAACACATTTTTTTTTATATTTATCATTGTTGTATTTTTATTATATTGTTTAAAAATTCTGAAGTATAAGTAATTTAATATTATATTTATGTCTATACTTAATAACTTGGTAGAAAATTTAATTATAAACGTAAATTTATTTTTTGTATTATTTTGATTTTGTTATGTTCTCTTTTATTTTATTAATAAAAAATCATAACTTGGTAATTTAATAGAATTTCTTTTTTTCAATATTTTTTATTACATACAATATTTTTCAAGTATTTCAATTTCATTATCAAGTTCATTTATAACATATATATTTAATTATAATTTGAGGCGTCCACGATATTCAAATTTGATAGTTACATCTTTTTACAGTATTATGATGAATTGAACGATAGTGATAGTGATCGTTAAGAATTAATGATGCATGAAAAATATTTGATATTTTTGTTATAGTCAATATATTAACTTTAAAATGTTATTTATTAATCTAATAATCATTTAATGAAAGCTTTAAACTATAGGCAAGTAATTATTTAATTTTATATGTTATTTAATTTGAGGCAATGGTGCAAGACTTAAGTTTACATTGATAATAAATTTTTATGTAAATGGAACAATCAGCTATTCTTTTCATTTATAAATAAAATTAATAAGAAAATTGTTCCCTTATACTTTTTAAGAATGAAGCAGTAAGCTAACGTTTAAGTTAAAAACTCATGTCTATATATCTTATATCAATGGTATTTGATAGCTCAATTCAATCAACAATTGCTAAAATAGATAGATATGAAACGGTTAATTTTTGATGATTTAATGATCCCGAATTTATTTCAAATGACAGAAAATAGACTTTAATTATTAATTGAAATTGAAAAAAAATTTCAATTTTTAAAAATTAATTGAAAAAGAATTTAAAATAAATTATATATAATAAATTATAATAAATAATTATATATATAATAAAATATACATATAAATTATATAATAATTATATGATTATTTTGTTTAATTTATTAAACTCTTATGGAGTTTCAATAAAGATCATTTTACATTACAATGCATAAATTATCTTTTTGGAATTTTAAGACAAAGTAATAGAAATATTAATAAAGTAATTGAAATATTAATAAAAGTTGCTATTAATCATTGTTAATTATTTAGTAAATTTTTGCTTCAAAATTTTTTAGTTTCGATCCATCAATAAAATATTTAGTAGTATAAAATATATATATGCAAAAAATATTATAAGATTGTACCAATTAAAATTTTTTATATTAATTAATTAATAAAGAATATATCAACTACTATATTCCTCTAAATTTTCAAATATATTTGAAAATATTTTTTATATTATAATAAATTATAATATTTTGTAATCATTTTTTTTAGATCGGGTGGTGCTTATTACTTTACAACTAATAAAGCCTCTCCATATGGAAAAGGATCAGATGGACTAAAATACGTGTAATATATAATTTAGATTACTGAAAAATTGTTTGAATGTTAAAAATATAAGTTTAAGAGTCTAATATGAATATAATTATGTACTTATTACTTTATTATAAACATATGAATTTGTATATATTATGTGAAATAAAGATATTTTAATGTATTGAACGATTAAACTGATAGTTTTTTTTAAACCTAAGTTCAATAAATATCAACAGTTGTTACGATTCTATTTTATATAATTAATACTAGAAATAGAAGGCGCGCGTCTATAATCAAATAATTGCACTATAATTTTCATATTAATCAAAATTCAACTCCTATCAACATAACTTGTTAAATTGTTCTTTAGTTTTTTTAAAAGAAAACGTTATTGAATGTGGTTTATAAATATTATTTGGTTGATATTTATAATTTTATAAAAATATTAAAGACAAACGCAGATAAAATTTATTTTAAAAATGATTTTTTTTTTTAAGTGCATGCATACAGCAGATATTTCTTTTAGACACGCGTCTTTTCACTTTGATAAATGTCTTTACAGCTTCTCCATTAGATTAATGTCGTTTAAACAACATCTATTCTTGAGATACATGCTTTATAGAGAAAAAAATGTGTTTTTGGATTGAAAACGCCAATAAGATAAAAAGAATAGGAGTTCTCAAAAATCCTGAAAATAAGTAATTAACGATAGAACTTATTTTATGATACATTATATATTAAAATATGATATAAAATTTGCTTTATCGTATTTTTTTTTTTTTTTTTTAATAATTTAGTAACTTTGAATAAAGGAATAAAACATTATTAAAAATATTTTTAACTTATAGATCCCTTGGATCAGGAACGATTCTCAGTTTCATTTAATCGAATTATTCTAGTTTGGAATGGTTTTCATTGTACAGTCAAACGAATCTATTTTCGTGAACTATAACTTTGCGATGAGAATAATGAAAGTTTACGTAGTACAAGTATGTAGCTTCAGTGTTTCTTATTTACTCCCAATTATGATTATTGAAAGTAATATTCGTCATACAGAATGTAACGAAAATTTAGATTCATAATATTAGTTACTATAAGATAAAAAAAAGTTGCATTATTAATAAAAGTCGGTGTAAAATAGAAATCTCAAGAATTCCTTCATTTTAACAGATTATATTATATTTCATCAATTATATAAAATATTATTTTTCAAACTAAATTTTTATTGAATACAGACTATGTTTTATGACAATAATGAATATTCAAAATATAAAAAAGTTGTATTTTTTTACAATAAATTACAAATAAATGTTTTCGTAATTGTTAATCAATATTTTGACTTCAAAATATGTATTTTTATACCAGATCTTTATATAAAAAGTATAAATGCTATGCAGTTATAAGCATATTTCTGCATATAGCACAATGAAAAAATACGTATTTTTGATCAATTTAGTCGCTTAGTATTTAAGCTAATATCGATATATTTTTATTTAGGAGACAAAAGAGTAATTCGGCTCCTTTGTTCAAAATCCCACAGAGTTAAAGTCCTTTATGCAATTCGAGTGCTGGCACACCTACCATCAATTCAATAAAACTTTGCTCAACAATTGTTATACGAGGTACTAGCAGCAAATTCAAAAACAAGTTTTAACGAATTACGTGAAATAATAACGAGTGATTTAACGTTACTTTTAAAGATAATACTATTTTCTTTTGAAGTTTGTAATTCAATTTCATCGTATATTCATTATAACTTAATACCAACCATAAAATCTTATACCGACTTAGTCAATTTTTTTTCTATTTACAATTAATGAAACGGTCCAATCGACTATCATTAAATTTGCAAAATAGTAAATTAAAACTGCTAATAAATTTAATGTAAATAATAAATTATGATAAAACTTCTAATATGTGCTTATTTAATATAAAATGACTGTCATAATAACTATAATTTATCAATATGTTGAGTTTATATATAACTTGATAAATATAAGTTTTTATACAAATTACTCACAATTTAAAATTGTATCTTATGTGTAACATTAGCGCTTTAGAAATAAGTATTTATATACCTTAAAAAATGGATTTCAATTAAAATGAACAAATCGATAAAATATTATTAAATATAGTAATATAATATATTTTATAAATATATTATATTATAAACCGATATAAGAATAACAAAAAAATATATTTTTTTAGCTTCGTTTGCTTTATTGATAAGTAATTTTTAGAATGCTAAATTCCAATTATTTATTGAATTACATATATTGAATTTTTATATTTGATAATTAGGTCTGTTTTTGCATTACATTGAGTACTTAAAATTTAAGTATTTAATAAAATATTACTGTGTATCAAATTTAAAATTTTTTGAATTATTTGATTCTTGAAATTATGTCGTGAATTGCACTTTGATTTAAAAAATTAAATCATAAGGCCAAAAAAATTTTATCGTATAACAATAGAATATTTACATTATAGTAAATTTACGTATATGAATTTTTCAAGCATAAATAGTAATTATAAATTGAATAAATGTATGGGAACCTCTAGAAATAGTTGCAAATTATTTTTTGTATATAAAAGCGTATATAAATGTAACTGAAAATAAAATGCGATTATTTAATTTACATGAGTAAGAACATATAAATCAAGTAACAGATATCATTTCGATTGTCAACTTTTCTTGTGTAGGTAAGCGACTACTCTGAAGGCCGATATGACGTAATATCTGCCTGATTTGTTGATCACGATGCGATCAGATACGATATCTTCAAACGCTTAATTGAAAATCTATTATTATAGAATACATATATATATATATATATATATATATATATTTATATACATTTCTGATATATAAACAATTATTTATGTAAATTTTTTGTGTGATATCTACATTATCATTTTGAAAAATTATAAATTTGATTATTACTATACATAATCAACGAAGTTTTTTTTTCTTATAGTAAATAAATTGAGTTATATAATGTTATATATATATTTTTATATATAAAACTATTGTTATATATAGTTTTTTATAAAATATACTAAAAAACTATTCAATAATATATTAAATTTAATATTTAAAATTATAATGTAAATATTTAACTTTCATTAATTATACAATGGATAAGCAAGTTAGATAAATAATATATTATTCAAACCTATTACAACAAATTTAAATATCAATTGAAATCGGATATTAAGTGCTAAAAACTCATCAATTATTTATGTTAAGTTATTCTTGATAATTATGGATCCAAAATAATCATCTGAGTTTGTTTGTTTACATAAAGGATTACGATATTCTATTAGTGCACTAGTTTAAGAATTTATCAAATTTTGAAATTACCAATTATCACTTTGCAGTGATGCTATTGAAATATAATATACATATTCCATTGAAACAATGTCAAATTACACAATTTTATTTTAGTCGTAACATAAAAGAGCTTACTTTTTATTAAGTATTTCTGATGTGTTTCGTAATTAGAAACGATTTCCTTCATTATAATGTTTTCTTTTAGTTTATCTTAACTCGACCATTATATTGACTACAGTGCCAAATATTAGTCTTTTTAATAAATAATACCAAATTTTGCCAAATTTTATATAAAAATCATAATTTTTTAAAAATATTGATATTCTCTGATTATTGAATTATAAATGAGTATGCAATATATAATTTAATGAATGATTGATATTTATTAAGAAACGATCATATTTAAAAGTTAATACAAATAACATTGAAAACTAATAAGTATATAATAAATAATGAGTTGTAAAAATTCTTTTATTCTATAAATTTTTATAATTACATTTTGTTATGTAGATGAAAGAACATAATTATATACGATTATATATAATTACACAGATAAGTTAGTTATCTATCTTAAGTGGTATTTTTAATAGCCTTTTTTCAATGTACCAAATGAATTGCGTATTCGTGTGAATTGTCACTTTTAGAGAATTCATCTAACTTACTAATTTCAACATACCTTTCTAAATATCCTTGGTCATAATTGGTTTAGAAGTAAAAATGCAATCGAACAAAATATATTTGATAAATTTAAAACTTTCCTATTCGTAATAATAATCATAATTATTTATTTTATTTGAAAATGATTAATTGTATATATAGATTAATCGCTTATTAATGCATATATAAAATAAGATTATTTTGAATCCTAACGACCTGTCAACAGATAAATAATCTGGTAAAACAATTTATTTAATAATTTCTCTCGTTAAAGAAAACATAAAGTTTTCTGAAATTCTGAAAGTATTGCAGAAAATATGTTGCTATATATAATATAGAATACAATAATATATGGTTAAAATTGAAACGTTGTAATTTTTTATATAATATATATATATATAAATTTGTTATATTTTTATATATAATAGCTTATTACCGCCCAGTCATTATGAAAAACTTGATCATAAATAAATATATTTTATTGGATTTTTATTTAATTCGGTAATTATTATAAATTTAAAGGAAGGGACATATAAATATATAAATATATTTAATAATTATTTGACAAATTAGGTGTTAAAAATTTTATTAAATTATATTTCCAATTTTCATAATAATTATAATAGTATAATAATTATATAAGATTTTCAACTTAAAAAATTTGAAATAAAGTTTGATCATATATATTGTAATAATTAGAGATTGGTATAGTAGCTTTTTTTTGCATTTTGCTATTAAATAAAGCATTAGTTAAGATAATTAGAATTGTTAAAAGTAGTACAAATATAAAAAAATCAGTTTAGTTAGAAAAAAAAAGAAAAATAAAAAAATAAAATAGATAGAAAGCAGGTTGTATCATTTATTTTGCGTATGAAGGTTCAAATTTATAGAGATTTGATTTTTATAAAGAACGATTTGATCGTCGAGAGAGAGAGAGAGTAAATCGCATTTTAATAGTCGCCCAAGATTTTAAGCGAAACGCAGGTTTCACAGCAATACAGTGTCCCGGTCATCTCCCTCCTTCCGGCCAAATCGATAATCCGTGCGTAACGGCATGGTCGGGCTCGACGCAGCCACGCCTCGGTTCCGAGCTGATCACCAGGGCAGGGTCGAGGTGCGTTTATAGGTAGTAGTGGTGACCCTCCTGAACTTGCTGACCTTTCGGTAATTCCAGCTAGTGCGATAGTAATCGTTGAACCAGAAAATCAAGTGTTTGTACTCGAAGAGCAGCTCCTTAAAGACGAAGAATTTCTGGAGTCGGGAAAAGTATGACCAGACTTCGTCGTGGTTGAGATCAAGGCTGCTCGGGATACCGCCACCTATGTCAATCAGCTGGATATCGTGGCAGCCAACGGTGCGGGCCACGTCGATGAGGTATTTGCAGGCATCGATGCCTCGGCTAAGGGCGAGCATCTCGCTCGATGGGCTGTATGCGTGGAAGCTGAAACCGTGGAGATTGAGCCCGAGGTCGCGGCAGGCCCGAATCAGTCGGATGGTCTCGTCGGTGTTTATTACCGCGCGACTACTGTGGCTGCTGCTCGATGATGACAAGTCGTAGCGAAAGCGAATCAATACTCTGTGTGCCGAAAGAAAATGAGACGATGGGTTAATTAATTGACAGGCGTCCACTAATTAATCTTTAAGAAGGAAATTGTTAAATTCGCCGTTAGATCTTTTCGAATCTTCGCTCTCTGTGACACTTTTTATGAATATTTTATGTTTATCCCTCATTTATTTCAAGTCTACTTTCAACAACATTACTCCAAGTATATATCGAAGCAGCAAATTAAAAAATTTTTACGAATTTTGTTTCAAATTCATACTTGATGTTTAAGGCATAATTTTATTAAGACTTTGGTTTTTGGAGTTCAAAAATATTGTTTTTAAATGAATATAATCATTTATCGGAGCTTGAAAAAACATAAATTTTATTTATTGAGCCCTAATGTATAATGATAATAAAGTAAATTTTTCACGGGCTTCTTTCTAATACTTAGCAATGCGAAAAGATCATAAGTTCTTTCGTAAAAAATAAATTTTTATCTAGAATATTATACCAATAAGTCTTAAATTAATTTATTATTACATGAATTTCTATGAATTTTTGAAAAAATTTTTATTTAGTATATTTTCATATTTTCATTTTCTTTTTTCATTGTTTTGTGCTAAATAATTAATATATTAACTGATTCGTAATTATAATAAATATTTTTCTACAATTTTCAAATAATTATTAGTTACTTATTTTCAAAATTTTTTGCAAATATATATATATATAACATAATATAAAAACGAAGAATTATAAAAGAATAAATACATTCGATCTATTGTTTTCATTTTATGTTAGTTTATGTTTCATTTTTAAAAACTCCAATTTCAAAATATGTAAATCGAAAACATTAATAATTTTGCTTAAAAATTTTTACAGGTTCCATAAGTGTTTACTAAACATCAAAACACACAAGCTTTCAAAATAACTAAAATACACATATTTATAGTTATTTGTTTAAGTAGTGTAGAACATGAAATATAATTTTCTAGAAATATAAAGAAACGTTTATCCTTTCTGATTTATTATTTGCAGCCTTATTAAGCATGTTTTATACGATATAATTTTAACATATGCAAGTACAATAATCTTAAGAATAATTTACTTTAAGAAATAAATTTATGTAATTAATTAACAATCGAGAGTTAGAGCATTAAGAACATGATTTATGTTATGAATTATTTTGAAATATTTATATGATTTACAATGTACATTAAATTCATCATTATGATCCATCCTTTGATTTTTATATTTCGTAATAATATTTTATTATTATCACTAATATGATAAATAATTTTTTTCATCCTATTTACTAAACATAAAATTAAAATTAATTATTCGATTATATAGTAATATTAAGTTGTTCATAACTATGTATATACAATTTCTACAATATGTGCTTCAAATGATGAATATTTAATATATAGTTATTACTTACTTAGCTTCGGGATATAATTCTTTTATTTTTCTTAACTCCCACATATTGTCAGCTGATAATTTCGATATACCAACTTGCTTAGCGTATTTGATTTGCAAAGGAGTTTTTACCGGATTCGTAAAAATGATTCGGTTAGCTGGTACTCCATAAGCCATTATATGCATGATATCTTGCTGTAATATAATTAAATAAAATAGAATGAGGTTATTATATGTAAATTTAATAATAATCATACCATAATAAAATTTCAAAAAGCATTTTGAAAATAAAATTGCTTTATAATCGTTTTTTTTTACCTTTGATGAACAATCGAAACTTGCACCTAGTGAGGCAAGAGTTTTTATAACAGTAGAACTTGAATTACTCTTCACAGCTGAAAAATAATTTTATATTATTTATTCCTATTTTAATCAATAACTTTCTTATATCGATAGCTTTTACATTTAATTTGCTTAATCAAAATGGAAGTTTGTTTATATATTGAAAAAAGAAATCGAATTAAATTAATAATATGAATTGAGGGAAATATTTTTTATATATAATTCTATAATTATAATATTTTTGATTTTTTAAATGACATAAGATATTAATCATTTAATAATTATTTAATTTTAACAATATTTGTTGTTAATATATTTAGTATCGATTTCGTTCAATTGTATATAACAATTATATACGATTTTAATATCAATCGATTTAATAAAAGAATTGAATAAAAGAAACTTATTACTCTCAACTATTTTAATCTGAAATATTAGATAATATTCAAAATAATAGAAAAATTATTTAAAAATAAATTTGAATCATCATCAGTCATAAAAATAAAATATAATTTTACACACCGTAATGAGGGGCGACTCTTGGAATTTTGTCAACCCACATTCTGTGCTTTTTAATAAGATCTCCTCCATCAAGTAAATGAAAGGGATCATCAAGGTTCTCAAAATCGATGAGCTTCTTCATAAATTCCAGATCGTCTAACTTGTCATCAAAAACACGCACTTCGTCGTAGTTACGCGGAAACAGGGAAAGCGCCATGGTGGGTTTCGCTTATTTTTCTACAACCCTTTCTAATCTTCGTTATGCTTCGATCGTCGTTTTCGTCGTCACCGTTCTTAAGAATTCTTTTAACAAAACTGCAATCGAAATATACGTTTAATATTATGGTTTAATAACAAAAGCACTGAGTAATTAAACAATAACAAAAGAATTATTATTAGTCGGCTCACGGTCGGGGGACAATTTGCTCTTAATCAGAAACGTATCTGCCTTTATAGCGTGCCATCGCATTGCTTAATATACTTCTATCTCTATCACACTTAACAATATCCAGTAAGGTATGGAAGTGCTTGTACCACGTGGGAAAATTGTCTCCCCACAAATACCAATGCGGAAAATGCGCACGATTTGGTAAATCCACGTGTATGCTATTACATGTAGAATTGTATCTCAGCTTCTGGTTTCTATATTGTAACTATAATTAATTAATATTGTGCATTTTATAAAATAAAGTTGTATTCATTATTAATAATATAATAATGTATATTACAATATATAACCTACTATAAATCCAATGTTCTTTTTCGTTAAAATTCGATATTCAAAAACAACGAAATAAAAAATCCCTTTGTCTTTATAAAAAAATATTACCATTAATGGATAATTTTACAAATGCATTCTTGCAGTTTTTTAAGAAACAAAGAATGTTTTTTGGGCAAATGTATTCAAGCAATAGTTGCACGTGCGAGCTTACGCACGTGTAGATTCTTACGTATGTAATCAAAAGTATACGTAATCTGATGCGTTAATACTGGTTTCAGAAATGGTTCGATCAATTTTGATCTATTAGGTACCAGTCTTTTGTTTGAATTTATTCAATTTTCAATTAAAGAGGAAATAAAAATGATTTGCGTATTTTATTGGCTATACTCAATTTTCATTATCCAATGATAAAAATTGATTGTAATTATATTGTTATTATTTCAAAATATTGAGTTTTCCAAATTAAACTATAAACTAATTGATGTTACGAATTAAATAATTCTTCCAAATATTTGTAATTTCTGCACAAATTCATATATTTTGATTTCCATAATTTTGTAAAATACCGTCATCGCATTAATAGATTCTAATATTTACATTTATGTTTATTTTTCATTTTACTTATTAAACTGCATTCATTTTTTACATTAAAATTTATAAAATTTCTATATTGAAATGCTACTTTTCGTTTTAATGAATTATTATTTCGTTTTCTCAATATGGTATTTTTTCATTATCTAAAATATTCTATTTCTCATTTAAAAGAGGTTATTTGATGATATAATCAGCAATGAATTATTCATAAATATGATGCACAAATATTATCTTTGTGATATTTATACATATTTACATTTAATTTTTACAATATAATAATTTATTATTTATCGTTTAAAATATATTTTGAGAATTAAATATCCCATTAACTATGAATAATTTTAATTTAGTGTTCCTTTTATTATTTTTAATTTTTGCAAATTTAAAAACCAAGAAAAATGAAATTACGTATATTATTAGAAATGCTCAGATAGTGCAATTTAATTAACTGTTTATTACTAAATTTGACTATGTATAACCAATCTTATTAAGTATGTAAAATTTTACTTAACATTTATTATTTTTTAATAATTTAAATAAAATTTTTTTTTCAAGTATGTTATGAAAAACATTATTGTTGGAAAAGGAAAAGAAAAGGGAGCATATAAATAATGTATCAACGAGTAGCCATTTTCAGCACTCATTATTTATGTTCGTCTATAACGCATTTTATAAACAAAAAAGTTTTTAAAACTTTTTAAAATAAATATTGACACTTCCTCTAAAAAGAAAAAAAATAGTTATATCATAATTTTCTAATGATTAATATGATTAAACTTTAGATGTGCTTATTTCATAAGAAACAAAATTACGTATTATAATTAAACCATAAATAATGTTCATGTTCTTAGATGTTTTTCTATTTAACTATAATATCCTACTAATAATATAAAGATTTAATTAAATTAATAATATAAAATTTAAGTTAATATTTAAATATAATAATTTGAATTTAAATAATATAATTTTAATCTAAGCAAATGAGGTGTTATAATAATTTACTGTAGATATAATAATAGTTAGCCGAATATGTAATGTATGAATATTTAAAATAACCAGTTATTAATAATACATTCTGTATAAATAATTTATAATTTTAAAACTGATTAATTCATAAATATTTCAAATATTTAATTTAAAAGTGATAAATTCATATAATTCAAATATTATTTAATCATTGTAGATTATAAAATTGATTGTTTGTAATAAGCTTATACATAAGAATTTACTTGAATTTAGCTGATTAAATTTAACATATTATTATTTATAAATTGTGAAAATTCCGGAATAATATGATATTTCCTTCTTTGCGTCTTAAATGATTTTAAAACATCGGGAACATAAAAAATAGAATTATTGATTATAAAAGCTTTTGAATGATAATCAGCTGAATAATAATATATTTCGATTCGTCAATTATTTATAACTACAATTTGATTATAACTTTAACTGGTTATATATAAAATAGCATCAATAACAAGTTTTATAATTATTATTTATCGAAAATCATTATAAAATTATTTATAATAATATAATACCTTTATTATTAAATTATATATTCTACGTTATTATAACATTTAAAACTATTAATAATTATATTCAGCTACGAATGTTATTATTATAGAATCTACATGCTTTTAAAAGTAATGAAAATTTTTCTGCTTAATTGTTTTTAAGCATTTTTATGATTATTAATAAAATTGTATAGTAATAATATTTAAATTTACCAAACTTAAGTATTTTTAGTTAATATAAATATGATTTTTTGTCAAATTTAATAAATAATTTTGAGTTTAAAATTAGAAATTTTAATTTATATAATATAAATTAAATATGTGTAAAAATATATAACCTGAAGTTTATATAAATATTTTGTTATAAATTACACGAAAGAAAATACTGTGTTAAAAACATAGAATCAAGAAGGTATATTAAAAAGCTATGGAGTATTAAAAATGGCGACGAACATGAATATTGAAAAAAGTTTGAAAAATATTTGGAATAAAAAAGGTATAGTAGTAACTGTAAAAAATTTTATCGATAAAAAAATATTATCAATGCAAAATTGTTTTCATAAAATTTTTATTTAAATTAATTGCCCATAGTTAGGAGTTGAGCATTATAAAACGATGAATTACGGATGTAATAAAATTGATCGATTTTACATCAATTTTTCATAGAAAAATCAATGTTTATTAATTTAAAAAATATTTTTAATATAAATAGTTAAATTCTATAACTAAGTATTTAAATTTTGTTTATAGAAATTCACACTAATATTGCCTCTTTTAGTATTAAATTATATTATAAATCAGTTTATTTTAAAAATCAATATATTTAAGTAACTTTTTGAAAATAGATATAATATATACTTTATAACTCATATACTAAAGCGACTAACTTAATAGATACAGTTTAAATTATTAAAATAATACATATAGTTTATTTTATTTTTAGTAATTACTTTTATGAAATTTGATAATGCTTAGGCCATTTACAAATTTAATATATTCTATGGAAGAATTTGTAATATATTTAGTTATCAGTTATATTCATTAGGTTTGATTTAAGTACATATTTTTAGGTAACAAAAGTCTGATATGTATTACAGATATGCAGCGACGGTTCATATTGTGGCTACAAGTCTGTAGTCACTTTACATTTATGAAATCAGCTTTAGATAATCGTATCCTTCGAGAAATTGAATTTCTCACTTAGACTTGGTACTGATTTGCATATTCCAATTTTTCTCTTTCACGGCTTTCACAACGATTAACCGGTCGTAGCATGAGATGCCGAACGTTCAGAGATACGTATGCGACCTCAGCGCCCGTTCTCCCGCTCTTACTTCTTCCTTAAAACCACCTATAAGTTTATCACCTCGACTGTATGCAGTTACCATGAATAATCAACGTACGAGTTGAGCTAACTAATGAAATCTATCAAGAGCAGATATAATCACCAAGTGAAACACTGAAAATGTGGTTCATATTTTATCGTCGTTATTTTCATTATTATTATTATTATTATTATTATTATTATTATTATTATTATTATTATTATTATTATTGTTGTTGTTGTTGTTGTTGTTGTTGTTGTTGTTGTTGTTGTTGTTGTTGTTGTTGTTGTTGTTGTTGTTGTTGTTGTTGTTGTTGTTGTTGTTGTTGTTGTTGTTGTTGTTGTTGTTGTTGTTGTTGTTGTTGTTGTTGTTGTTGTTGTTGTTGTTGTTGTTGTTGTTGTTGTTGTTGTTGTTGTTGTTGTTGTTGTTGTTGTTGTTGTTGTTGTTGTTGTTGTTGTTGTTGTTGTTGTTGTTGTTGTTGTTGTTGTTGTTGTTGTTGTTGTTGTTGTTGTTGTTGTTGTTGTTGTTGTTGTTGTTGTTGTTGTTGTTGTTGTTGTTGTTGTTGTTGTTGTTGTTGTTGTTGTTGTTGTTGTTGTTGTTGTTGTTGTTGTTGTTGTTGTTGTTGTTGTTGTTGTTGTTGTTGTTGTTGTTGTTGTTGTTGTTGTTGTTGTTGTTGTTGTTGTTGTTGTTGTTGTTGTTGTTGTTGTTGTTGTTGTTGTTGTTGTTGTTGTTGTTGTTGTTGTTGTTGTTGTTGTTGTTGTTGTTGTTGTTGTTGTTGTTGTTGTTGTTGTTATTATTATTATTATTATTATTATTATTATTATTATTATTATTATTTATATTGCATATTGTAAGTACATTCATTATTGTCCATTTGATTTTGTATGGCTTAAAACTTGCAATTGTTACTTAAAGAGGAATATAGGAACGATCAAAGATAAAAAAAATAAAAACAATGTGTAAAAAAGATAATATTTACAAAATTATTTTTCAAATATGAAGTTATAATAGAGATTTTCGTCGTGTCATGACACAATGTAATGACAAGGAAGAATACATACATTGATCGAAGCTCCATGAACAGCTCAAGTCACATGCGAAGCTCGAAATATGGTTTGAAATTAACAAAAATTACAAAAGCTATGAAAAAAAATAGATATAATAATATCACATTTACTCGACGTGTAGAGACAATAACCCCAAGTTACGAAGAACAGAAAGAACGAATAAATACAATATAGCATTGCTATAAATAGTACTTAAATAATAAAATAAACATAGCATTTATG